CCCGTGCCAAGTCTCCCACACAAAGTCGTGTCATCTTCCTGACGTCTCGCCTGCCACTTGGTAACGCTCGCTTCAGCATTCGCCAAAATTGGCCTGCTGTTACACTTCTGTGAGTACAAGGGGAGGCTGGGTCTTTGTTTTATTTATTTATTTATTTAGGTAGTTTTTCCTATAGTGTATACACTCACCAACGAGAGAGAAAACAGAGACAGAGAGAGGGAAAAGTGAGAAATCACCCCTCAGGGGAGATGGCTCCACTGCAATCCCTTATCTGTGCTCCTCGTGGGATGACGGACACACACGCACATACGCCTGGCATGCTTCCCAAGTCTCCGGGCCCGGGACTCGAACTGCACGGTCAGCCATGTGGGATCTAACACCTCACCCTCCACGCTGCCAGCTGCCTGTTGTGGCAGTGTGGGAGCCCAGGCCAGCTGTAGCAGTGGCAAATCGCTCCACCAGGTGAGACCACTTGGGGAGGTCCCAGGGTGGCACCCCAAAGCCTCCCTGTATACACCAGGTACACAGGCACATGCCCATAACCCTAGCTAAGGCTGGAGTGCATCTCAGCCTGAGACCTTGTTGCACAAGAAATAAATGTTAACAAAAAAATTGGGGGACCAGTAGTTAGCGTAATGGCTATGTCACTGGACTCCCATGCAGTTGACCACGATTTGAGTCCTGGACCCAGTAGCTTAAACTCACGCCAGGCATGTGTGCATGCGTGCCCAAGATCCCGAGAGGAGAATGGAGGAGAAGGGATTGCGGCGTGACCATCCCCCCCAGGGGGTGATTTCTTGCTTTCTGTCTCTCTGTCTCCCTCTGTCTGTCTGTCGAGCACACGCGCCCTATAGCAAAAACGTCTCCAAAAAAAAAAAAAAAGAAAAGTTCTAGGCATTGCCTCACGATATCCAACGGCCTAGGTATTGCTCCACTGCGCCACTAAATTGTGACATTCCCAACAAGCACACATCCTGGAACGAATCACCTCTTAATAGCTGGCAGTTTCCAAACCCAGAAAAGTCAGTGCTTCAAAAAAAGTCCAAAGGGTCTGCAGGGCCAGCCTGCGGCCTGGTGGTTAAGCGAGCTGACTCTCACACAGCCAACTGCGCAATTCAAGGCCTGGAACCGGCAGCTTGAAAGACACCAAACGCACTGGGCACACGTGTGTACGTGTCCAAAATCCAGAGAGGAGGGAAAGGTGGAGGAAGGATGTGACCATTCCTATCACTCATCAGAGGTGCTTTCTGGTATCCCTGCCTCATGCCCTCTGGCAACTTTTTAAATAAATAAATAAATAAAAGATGGAAAAATAATAAATAAAATAAAATAAATCTTAAAAAAAAGACCAGCATATTATATGGTGGTTAAGGCACTGAGTACCCATATGGCTGACTGTGGGTTGAGTCCTGGACCTGGCAGCTTAAAAAAACACATCACAGTGGGGGCCAGCAAGTGGTGTGGTAGTTAAGGACGCTGGACTCCCATGGCCGACTGTGGTTCGAGTCCTGGACCTGGCGGCTTGCTTTCTCACTTACTCTCTCTCTCCTCTCTCTAGCTGCGTCCCTCTCTGGTGAAATTAAAATAAATAAAGTTAAATAAAATAATTCTTAAAAGAAAACACACACACAGTCACACACAGTGTGCGTGTGCGTGCCCCAAGTCCCGAGAACACTGAGAAGGGATTGAAGCACGGCCACCAACACGTCTTCACGTCGGCCTCTGGTGAGTGCCATGCCCTACAGCAATTTCATTCATGTAATAGAAAACTTTGTTTTAAGTGACTGCAAAGCCAAACAAAACAACTATTGTTTGGAAAAGCAAATTTTTACTAAGAATTTGATAGTTTAAAGTATATTAGGGTGGGACCAGCAGTTAGCGTAATAGCTATGTCGCTGGACACCCACGTAGTCAACCACGGTTCAAGTCCCAGACCCAGTGGCTTAAACTCAGTCCCGGACCCGGTGTGCCCAAGATCCCGTGAAGAGAATGGAGAAGGGATTGTGGCATGGCCGTTCCCCCGGGGGTTGATTTCTTGCTTTCTGTCTCTCTGTCTCTCTCTGTCTGTCTGGTGAGTGCACGCGCCCTATAGTGAAAACCTCTCAAAAATAAAAAAATTTAAAAAAAAAAAGTATATTAGGGCTGGGACCAGTAGTTGGTGTTATTTTAGTTACCTGTTAGTACCTTTTGTCCATTTTCTCTTGTAATTCTTTTTTTAAAAAAAGAATTATTTATTGAGGGACCAGCAGTTAGCGTAATGGCTATGTTGCTGGACTCCCATGTAGTTGACAGCGGTTAGAGTTCCAGACCAGGTGACTTAAATTCACACCGGGCAGGTGTGCGTGTGTGCTCAAGATCCTGAGAGGAGAAGGGATTGTGGCGTGGCCATCCTCCCGAGAGGTAGGGGGTGATTTCTCACTTTCTGTCTCTCTGTCTCTCTCTTTCTGGCAAGTGCAAGTGCCCTATAGCAAAAACCTCTCCAAACAAATAAATAAATAAAGTATATTAGGACTTTTTTTTTTTTTTTAAGAGAGATATTTGCTATAGGGTGCACGTGCTCACCCAAAAGACAGAGAGAGAGACAGAAAGTGAGAAATCACCTCCCAGGGAAGATGGCCACGCCATAATCCCTTCTCCTTCACTCTCCTCCTGGGATTTTGGGCATGTATACACACACGACTCGTGTGAGTTTTAAGATGCCAGGTCCAGGATGCAAACTGTGGTCAACTACATGGGAGTCCAGTGACTTCAACACCACGTAACCTGCTGGCCCCCTATTTTTAATATTTCAATGGCGTGTCTATTTTAGTGTTAACTGTCAAATTAACTCAAGTGGTCAGTCGGTCCAAAAGAGCAGATGACAAAAGTTTCCCTTCCAGTCTTCTTCACTAACAGGGAATTCATGGAATTGCACCCAAACTGAGACACAAGTACTGTTTCTTCTGTTTGGCCAAGCTTGCTCCAGATTTCTGTTAAAACTAACACGGCAGCTGCTGGCGGCTGGGGGCTGCTGCCCCTGGGTCCGTACTCATGCACCTGTTTACTTCACGCCACTGCCATGTGCACTCCTCAGAGAGGGGAGAGAGGGAGGAGACCCCCCTCCGTGGGCACAGACATGACACGACCCCTTCTCCTCCTGTCAGGACTTGAGGCACGCAGGCACGTGCACTTGGCTACCAGGGCCAGGATTCAAACCACAATCAGCCATGTGGGACACAGCGCCCTTAAACAGAAGGCTATGGGCTGGTCTGTCTCATCCCAGTTAATTTAAAAATAGCTACAAGTTGTTCATGGCTACCATAAGGAACAGCACAGTCTTAAGAGATTGTTTTCCTATAAAATACATCAACAAATTTTAAGGTTTTTTTTTTTCTTTTTTCGGAGAGATTTTTGCTATAGAACGTGTGTGCTCGCCAGAAAGCCAGAACAGAGAGACAGAAAGCGAGAAATCACCCCCCAAGGGGGGGATGGCCAGCCGCAATCCCTTCTCCTCCATTCTCCTCTCTGGATCTTGGGTGCACATGCATACGCGCCTGGTGTGAGCTTAAGTCACCGGGTCTGGGACTCGAACTGCAGTCGACTATATGGGAGTCCAGTGACAGCCATTACGCTAACTGCTGGTCCCTTTTTCTCCCCTCTTTCACAGAAGAAAGAAATACCAAAAAAATACTAGTTATGATATATCCTGTGTAAGAACTGCAAATGGACTTAGGCTGGACTCCAATGAAAAGTTGTTCTTGTTTTTAAAGAATGATTTTGGGGCCAGCAGGTGGCATGGTGGTTAAGAGCACTGGACTCTTACACGGCCAACAGTGGTTCAAGTTCTGGACCTGGCGGCTTTCCCTCTCTTTCTCTCATTCTGTCACTCTCTGGTCAAATTTAAATAAATTAATAACATTAAATAAAATAACTCTTAAAAAAAAAAACTCTCAAAAAAAAAAAGGGCAAGAAATCACCCCCCTGGGGGGTTGCCATGCCATAATCTGATCTCCTCCATTCTCCTCTTGGGATCCTGTGTGTGCACACATGCACATGCGCCCAGCCTGAGTTTGAAGCTGCCAGGTCTGGGACTTGAACAGCGGTGGACTACATGAGAGGCCAGTCACGGAACCATCACACCATCTGCTGGTCCCTGGGGCTGACCTTTAATCCAGCAGATATGTTTGTAATCATTGTGCCTCTTGTCACTATAACAAATGAGCTAAAAGTCGCAGCAGTCAGGACACAAAATGGTCACGTGACAAAACTGATGACCATTAAAGTCAAAAAACAAGAAACACGCCCTTGTCACAGCACACAGTTCAACGTGCCGTTACCAGGCACCAGCGAAAGGGAGGAGAGTCACTATTGGCAGGACCGATACACTGTCCTTCACTTCACTGGCGCCCTCACCCTCCTCCACAGTGAGGTCCAGCGGACTCTGAGTATTCAGAACATGTACACCTATGAATCTGACGCAGAAGCAAAAAGTCCGGATTTTACTCCCAGAACAGTCTTTTCAACTGGCACAAACCAACAGAAACAGCAATAACTGAGACTCCTCTGCCCAGCAGCACCTCCCTCCCAGCCCGTCATGAGACACCTAAAGAGAAGAGAGGAGGGAACCAGCAGTTAGCATAATGGCTATGTCGCTGGACTCCCACATAGTTGACTGCAGTTCGCGTCCCGGACCCGGTGGCTTAGAACTCACGCCGGGCGCGTGTGTGCGCGTGCCCAAGATCCCGAGAGGAGAATGGAGGAGAAGGGATTGCGGTGTGACCATCCCCCCTGGGGGGTGCTTTCTCACTTTCTATCTCTATGTCTCTCTCTGTCTGTCTGGCGAGTGCACGCGCCCTATAGCAAAAACCTCTCCAAAGAATAAAAAAATAAAAAGAGAAGAGAGGATCTCTTTCAGGAGAAATCTAAAGAGGCCAGCAGGTGGCCTGGTGGTTAAGGCACTGGACTCCCACATGGCTGACTGCAGTTCGAGCCTGGACCTGGTGGCTTGTGTTCTTACTTTCCTTCTCTCTGTCTCTCTCTGGTCAACTTCAAAAAAAAAGAAAAAAAAAATGAAAATGAATAAAATTTAAAATATAAATAAATAAAATCTAGAGAGGCTGGTAGGTGGCCTGGTGGTTAAGATGCTAGACTCCCACTGTCCTGGACCTGGTGCCTTAAAAATCACACCGGGTGCATGTGCGTGTGTAACCGAAATCTAAGGAGAAGAACGGAGGAGGAGACTGCAGGGCGGCGGTCCCTTCTGGAAGGTCATTTCTCATTTCTCCTCTCACTGTTTCTCTCTCTGTCTCACTCCTGCATAAGCCCTGTGGCAAAAAAGCTTAAAAACAAAAAACTAAACAGTTTATTTATTATGGCACAATTTGTTTTCCTCCAAATTTTGCCAGAGGGTGCATGTACTCATGGGGGTGTGTGGGAGGGGTGAGAAAATACTCCCCAGGGGGAATGGTCAGGGGACAATCCCTCGTCCTTCATTTCTTCCTCCTCTCTGGGATTCTGTGCATGCACACATACAGCCGACATGTTTTTCAAGTGGTCTGGTCCGAAATTCAAATTAGTCAGTCAGCCTGTGAGATCCAGTCAACTTAATCATCACACCACCGCTGGGCCAAGATTATTAGGATTTTTACTTTTTAAGAATTATTTTATTTGGGACCAGCGGGTGGCGTGGTGGTTAAGGCACTGGACAATCCCACATGGCCACCCATGGGTCAAGTCCTGGACCTGGTGGCTTTCTTTCTCACTTTTTCCTCTTTCTGGTCAAATTAAAATAAATGAATGAATAAATAAATCATTTTTTAAAAAGAATTCATTTTATTCTTTTCTTTTTTAATAGAAAGTTTTCCTATACTTTTTAATAGAAAGTTTTCTTCGTAGGACCAGCCGATGGCAGAATGGCTACATCGTTGGACTCCCATGTAGTCAATCACGGCTCAAGTCCTAGACCCAGTGGCTTAAACTCACGCCGGGCGCATGTGTGTGTGTGTGTGCCCAAGATCCCAAAAGGAGAATGGAGGAGAAGGAATTGTGGCGTGGCCATCGCCTTGGGGTATAATTTCTCGCTTTCTGTCTCTTTCTGGTGAGATCACATGCCCTATAGCAAAATAAATTAATTGAATTAAAAAAAAAAATCCACCAGATCCAGGATTTGAACTCACAGTCACTGTGAGAATCCAGCATCTTAACTACCACACCATTGAGTTCCTTTTTTTTTGTTTTTTTTTTTTTTTGCCATAGGGTTCATGTATTTACCAGAGAATGATAAAGAGACATGAAAGGGAAAATGAGAATCACCCCCAAAGGAAGAGGGCCATGGCAAAATCCCTTCTCCAGTCTCCACTTGGGATCTTGGGCATGTGCACACACACAACCGGCATGATTTTCAAGTCACCTATGCAGGACTCAAACTGCAGTGGGCCGTGTGGGAATCCAGTGACATTACTGCTACACCACCCCCGGCCAAGATTTTTTTTTTTTTAATCTTTTAATAGGTTTTTGCCTTAGAGCACAAGTGCTTGGGGGTGGCGGAGATAGAGACCGTGAGAGAAGTGTGAAATTACCCCAGGGGCATGCCTTCTCCTCCATTCCCTTTCTGGAGTCCTGGGCAAGCACATACATGCACCTGGTGTGTGTTTCAAGCCATCATGTCTGGGACTCAAACTGCAGTTGGCCATGTGGGAGTCCAGCGATGTAACCACTACATCTGGTGGCCCTAGATTGTTTGTTTGTTTGTTTTCTTGAGAGATTTTTGTTATAGACACATGTGCTCTCCAGAGAGACAGAGACAGAAAATGATAAACACCCCCCAGAGGGATGGTCATGCAGCCATCCCTTCTCCCCCAGTTACCTCTTGGGAGGAGTTTTAAGCCACTGGGTCTAGAACTTGAACCGTAGTTGACTACATGGGAGTCCAGTCAACTCCATGGAAGTCCAGCAATGCAACCATTATTTCATCTGCTGGTCCCCTAGACTGGGTTTTCTTTTCTTTCTTTCTTTTTTTAAGTAAAGTGTATTTTCTTTTTTGGTAAAGAATTATTTTATTTTAACTTGACCAGAGAAGGACAGAGAAAGAGAAAGTGAGAAATCAAGCTGCCAGGTCCGGAAATGGAACCACAGTTAGCCACGTGGAAGTGCAGTGCCCTTAATCACCACACCACCCTCGGCCCCTAGACAGGGTTCTGAAAGGTTTACTTCTCCTTCCTCATGAGGACCGACTCCCAGGGCTCAGTGGTAGACGAAGGCTGGGAGGAAGCAACTGCTCCGACGGAGGGCCGGGTGACTGCAACCTTCACGGGTCGAGGTCAACCTCACAGGTTGCTCCAGCCTGACTCCTGGACACACGCGTTGCACTGCGCTCGGCAGCAAGTCTCTGGCACTGTTACAGAGGGCCAGCAAATGCTGCAGAGTTATAACACTTAAATGAATGATTACAGCTTATTTCTACCTATAATTGGTAACATGGGCGGCTAACCTAAAGTTTACATCTAACCCTAAATCATTTAAAAAAAAAAAAATCACAGGGCAAGTCACCCATGTCTCGCTGAATAAGCACCTCAGTATGAAATCAAGAGAACTGTAAAATTGAACGCTGTAAGCTCAGCTTCCAATGACAGAGCCTCTTATTAAGAAGCTTCCATTGGTGCCAGCAAGTGGCGTGGTGGTTAAGGGCGCTGGACTCCGACATAGCCGACCTTGGTTCAAGTCCCTGACCTGGCGGCTTGCTTTCTTGCTTTCTCCCTCTCTCACTCTGTCCCTCTCTCCTCAAATTAAAATAAATACAGCTAAATAATTCTCTTTTAAAAAATAAAGTTCTCCTTATGCATAACAAACACCAACCTGACTGACAGATGTGTATTTTTAAAGAACTTTCCAGTTTTTATCCTTTCTAGAATATTCCAAGCATTCATCTCCTCACTGGCAGATTTAAAATCTGATCATGTTTGCAAACTTCCTGGTTCCGTTTTCCTTCCTCTCCCCAAGACTGTGCTGGCACTTGGGGCATGGCCATGTTTGGCTCCCAGTCTCTTTCCTGAGACATAATTTGAATCAAAATTTAGATCTGTTCTAAGACCATTTATAGAAACAGAAATTTGGTCTTCCCGAAGTACTCACCATGAATGTCACCTTCTCCCTGGAAAAGAAAAGAAAATTTAAATTTACTTTTCTATCTTAATTTTGCAACACACAAATAAGACAATCACAGTTCAGAGTATCTACCCTATTTAAAGCCATATGTGAAAGCAATTTCAATCTGATGCAATCCAGTAGAGGTTCAGCTGGGACGACGCCACAGTCACCCCACCTACACACTAAAAACCGTCACGGGGCCAGCGGGCGGCATGCGGGTTAAAGCACTGGATCCCACATGGTCGACCAAGGCTCGATTCCCAGACCAGACCCAGCAACTTGAAAATCACACCGGGCCTCTGCCTGTGCAGGCTCAAAATCCCAAGAGGAGACTGGAGAAGGGACGGTGGAGTGGCCATCGCCCCAGGGGATGATTTCTCACTTTGCCTCTCTGTGTCTCCAGCCAGCACACACACCCTACAGCAAAAATCTAAACAAACAAAACCTTAACGGTATTCTGATGACTTAATACCAGTTAGCACTGGGGCCAGCAGGTGGCATGGTGGTTAGAGGCACTGGACTCCCACACAGCCGACCACAGTTCGAGTCCTGGACCCAGAGGCTTGCTTTCTCACTCTCTCTCTCTCTCTCTCTCACTCACTCTGTCCCTCTCTAGGCAAATTAAAATAAATAAATAAATAAATAAATAAATAAGTTAAAAATTAAATAAAACAATTCTTTAGAAGGCCCCTATCGACTCCACAGCCCCTTTGACAACCCACCACACACTTAGATAGTCGCAGCCTCAGTGTGTCCTGAGGTCCCTCGTCGCATGCCCTATAGGCACACCTGACTGTCCAGCAGTGCACGGACCCCATCAGCAACAACCACACGGTCCCTGGACTCAGAACTGCCGCCGAGTGCGACGCCGCAGGGTGAGTGTGAGCCAGCAGCTCTGAAAATCACAGCGAGGCAGTCTAACCCTCCTGGTCTGAGGCCTCTGCGCAGGAGGCCCTGCTCAGTCCTTCCTGGCTTAACTCTCCGCGCACCGGTCTTTCTGCACCAGCACGGCCCGGTTCCCTCCCCGGGGCCTCTGTAAAATTCTGGGGGCAGAACTGAAACCTCCCAGTAACAAAGGAGGAAGTTCCATCTCTAAGTTCTTGCGGCCTCCAAGCCTGTCGTTGCTCGAGCAGTCACACTGACCTTCAGATCCAAAAAGTCTCCAGAGCTGGCTTCAGAGGAGTTCCTTCTCTGCAGCCCGGACGACTCCGAGTCTTCCCTGCCACCGCTGGACTTGGCGCCTACAAATCAGAACGGACCTTCCTGAGGAGCCGCTGGGAAGGCCTAAAGCAACACCCCCATACACACGAGTACTGACACTGCCGAGTCTCGTGACAAAACGAGGAAATGGTCTTAGGGAGTATAGGCGGATGGGTCAAAAATTCTAGGCCGGCCATGGTGGCGCAGGGGTGGCAGGGAGCTCGGTGCTGCAGAGGCACTGTGGGAAGGCCCTGGGTTCGCATCCCGAGGTCTCCCTGTGCACACCACGCACACACACACACACATGCCTGCGGCCCTGGCTGAGGCCGGGGGTGGACTGCAGTGTAGGGACCATCCCCCACTTCTTGGGAGACAGAGATAACTATAGAAGAAGATAAATCACACAGAGGGACGGAACGTCCTGCTGCGGCCCTCGTTCCGACCCCCGCGCAGGCTGGCGGTATCCCCAGGCCGCTCACTTCGGCTTGCACGCCTGCTTACTTTACTGCCGCTAGGCTGGACTGGCAGGTCAATGCCAGGAGCATGAGCTTTATGGCGCGGCCAGCCCTTTCAACAGGGACCTCGGGGAAAGCAGTACCTGCCGACTTGGCCCAGGAAGGGGGATTTTCTTCAGGCGTCCCAAAAATGCTGGAGGCCATTTTGTTCTTCCTCACGGGTTGCTCTGCTGGTTCGTCAAAGCCTAATGAAAAATTGGATCCGCCACCTGGAGGCCGCAAAACCCTAGAAATAATGCAAAACACCAATTCTAGCTTAAAGTGTTTCTTGGCATAAACATTTTCAAACAACTTCCATTTCATTTTCCTCACCCGTTCATCTCCCCACCCTCATGGGAAAAGAGAATCAATCCCATCGTGATGTTAAGATGTGTATTTTTAGGGGCCAGCAGATGGCATAATGGTTACATCGCTAGACTCCCACATGACCATCTGTGGTTCAAGTCCTGGACCTGGTGGCTTGAAAATCATACCAGGGACATGTGTGTGCGCATGAGAGAGAGACAGGGACCCCATACAAGGATCCACACCCAGCTTCAGCCAACCCCACATCGCAGACATGTGCATGCCTCACACCAGGTCTCTGACAAAAACCCTGAACATTCCATGCGGGTCTGGCTTAGAGTGCAGTGTTTGACCACTGCGCCAGTAACCGGCCCCACGCTTCACTCCGTCTATAGTAAGATCACCCATCAGTAAGGGGCTGGAACAGCCTGAAAGTCATCTCAAATCCCAGCCTGCTTGGAGTCCCCTCTGCACAAATGCCAAAACGTCTAACAGATCTGGCTTTAGCTCAAAATACTTGCAGGGTGGTGTAGAAGTATAGCTCATTATTTATTCATTTATAGAGCATTTCCATGGCTCTTTAAGTAAAAAACGCAAAAATATGCACATAAAAGTTGGGATCAGCAGTTGATGTAATGGCTATGTCACTGGACTCCCATGTAGTTAGCCATGGTTCGAGTCCCGGATCCGGTGGCTTAAACTCATTCCGGGTGCATGCCCAAGATCCCAAGAGGATTATAATAGAGAACAGATTGCGGTGTGGCCATCCCCCCAGGGGGGTGATTTCTCGCTTTATGTCTCTCTATCTATCTCTTGTCTTTCCAGCAAGTGCATGCATCCTATAGCAAAAAGCTCCCCCCCAGAAAAAAGTGTTACACTGACCACTTTAGAAGCCCCGAGTGAGAGAGCTGGTGTAAGGCTCGGGGCTCCCGTCTCTCTCAACCTCACCGAGGAGCCCTAACTTGTTCACACCTAACTCTTCTCGTGAACAAGGCAAGGTCACTATGCTCCACTGAACCCGAGACTCCATGGCGAGATCTCCACCCAGGTCTCTCCGGACTGCAGCTACTGCTTTCCGGCCACATGGGGCGAGCGGAGTACCTGCACACTCTCCAACCGTCCTGCCACAGGTGTTGGTCAACCTGGCCCCTTCCTGGGAAGCTCAATGTAACCTCTCACCACCTCTCAAAACACAGACTCTAGGTAGTTTGATGGGGGCCAGCCCACAGCACACTGGTTAGGTGCTATGCATAGGGATCCAGAACCCACATGGCCAGGTTCAAGTCCCATTCCCAGAGGCTTCAGAGATACCCGGGGATGTATGCATGTGTGCCCCGAGTCCTGACTGGAGGAAGAAATGGAGGAAAAAGGACTGTGGTGTGACTACACCCCACTGAGGGGTTCTCTCTAGTGAGCGCATATACCTCTAACAACGCTTTAAAAATAAAAAAGACAATCGTATGGGAAGACATTCAATTCCTTCACTGATAAGATGGTCTGGTTTTCTATGTCTTCCTAAATTGGACAGGGTAAAAATATTTTTCTAGAAATATGTCCATTTCTTCCATATTCCAAATAAATTTTGTTTGTAAATTCAGCCCATTATATTAGAAAATAAAGACTAAAAATTAAACATTTGATGGGGCTGGCAGATGGAATGGATGCTTGACTCCCACATGGTCAAAAGTGGTTCGAGGCCCGGACCTGGTGGCTTGCTTTCTCACTTTCCCTCTCTCTTTCTCTCGCTCTATACCCCTCTGTAAAAATTAAAAAATAAAGTTAAATAAAATAACCCTTTTTAAAAAATTAGACACTTAGGGGCCGGCAGGTGGCGTAGTGCTTAAGGGTGCTGGACTTCCACATGGTCGACTACAGTTTGAGTCCCAAACCTGGCAGCTTGCTTTCTCACTTTCTCTCTCTCTCACTCTGTCCCTCTCTGGTCAAATTTAAATAAATAAATAAAATATATATTTTTAAAATTAGACACTTGGAAGTATAACCTTCTACGTACTCCTCTGAAAAGAGTCCTAATTTTTTTGTTTGTTTGTTTTTTGTTTTTTTTTTTCTTTTTTGCTTTTGCCATAAGGGCTATGTGCCTACCTGAGAGAGACAGGGAGAGAGGGTAAAATGAGGAATCACCCTTCAGGAGAATGGCCATGCCACAATCCCTTTCTCCTCCATTCTCCTCTCGGTATTTTGTGCACACATGTACACACACCTGGCATGATTTTCCAACCACTGGGCCCAGGACTCAAACCATAGTTAACCATGTGGGAGTCCAGTACTTAAACCACCATCCACCGGCCAGCCCCACTTATTCTTGATATGCTGAATATTTTTTGGGGGGAGAGGTTTTTGCTCTAGGGCCCATGCAATTGCCAAAAAGACAGAGAGAGAGAGACAGAGAGACAGAAAGCAAGAAATCACCCCCCAAGGGGAATGGCCACACCACAATCCCTTCTCCTCCATTCTCCTCTCGGGATCTTGGGCACGCATGTACACATGCCCAGCGTGAGTTTAAGCCACCAGGTCCGGGACTTGAACTGCGGTCGACTACGTGGGAGTCCAGCGACATAGCCATTATGCCAACTGCTAATCCTGACCTCCTACGTTATTTAAAAGTGCATTTTTATGTTGTCAGACGAGATCTTTCTAGTATTCATTCCTAGCTATCAATTACATCGCAGACAGACGACAGTCTGTACGACATGAACCCTTTATGGCCTGATGTGTGGAGAATATTGTAAATCTTTCATGTGTGTTTGAAAAGAAGCCTGTTTGCCAATGCTCTCGTGTGTCTACCAGATCAAGCGTGTTCACTGAGTTGTTCGAATTTTCGAATATTTTAATATGCTTGATCACCTACCGAGAGGATCTGTTAACAGCTCCAACTGCAAAGATGGGTCTGTCAGTTCTCTCCCAGAATTGGGTCAAGACAAAGCATACTCCCTCTGAGCTGGCCCCTGACTCACTGCTTAAAGAAGCCGGTCCGGGGGCCGGCAGGTGGCGTGGTGGTTAAAGGTGCGTTGGACCCCCACATGGCCAACAGCAGTTCAAGTCCTGAACCTAGTGGTTTGCTTTCTCACTTTCGCCCTCTCTCTCTTTCACATTCTGTCTCTTTTCTAGTCAAATTAAAATAAACAAAGGGGCCGGCAGGTGGCGTGGTGGTTAAAGGTGCTGGACTCCAGACATGGCTGACCACGGTTTGAGTCCTGGACCTGGCAACTGGCTTTCTCACTCCTCCCCTGTCCCCATCTCTCTCTCTCAGGTCATTTTGAAAAAAATATACCTAATAACAAATGAAGTTAAATAAAATAACTTTAAAAAAGAAATATGCTTTTATATCAAATAAATAAATGAAGTTAAATAATTATTTCCTGGGACCAGCAGTTAGCGTAATGGCTATGTCACTGGACTCCCACGTACTCGACCGTTGCGGTTCAAGTCCCGGACCCGGTGGCTTAAAACTCATGCCGGGCACATGTGTATGCGTGCCCAAGATCCCAAGAGGAGAATGGAGGAAAAGGGATTGCAGCGTGGCCAACCCCCCTGGGGAGTGATTTCTCGCTTTCTGTCTCTCTGTCTATGTCTGTCTGGCGAGCGCATGCGCCCTATAGCAAAAAAAACTCTCCAAAAAAAATTTTTTTTTAATAATTATTTTAACTTTTTTTAAAAAAATTTTAAATTGTTTTACTTTTTAACTTTCATTTACTATTTATTTTAATTTGACCTGAGAGGGACAGAGAGAGGGAGGGAAAGTGAGAAAGCAAGTCGCCCAGGTCCAGGACTTGAACCTTAGTCTGCTATGTGGGAGTCCAACGCCCTTATCTGCCTCGCCACCTGCCGGCCCCTTTATTTATTTTAACTTGACAACAAAGGCACAGAGAGGGAGAGAGATAGGGAAAGTGGGAAAGAAAGCCACCAAGTCCGACAGCTGAACCTCAGTCGGCCATGTGGGAGTCCAACGCCCTAACCACCACACCACTTGCCGGTCCCTATTAATTTATATTTTTATTTGACCAGAGAGGGACAGTGAGAGTGAGAATGAGTGAGAGAGAGAGAGAGAGAGAAAGAAAGCAAGCTGCCAGATCTGAAACTCGAACTGCAGTCGGCCACGTGGGAGTCCAGTGCCCCTAACCACCATGCCATTTGCCAGTCCTAAGTTAAATGATTCTTTTTTTTTGGGGGGGGAGAGGTTTTTTCTTATTGGGTGCGTGCGCTCGCCAGAAAGAAAGAGACAGAGAGACAGAAAGCGAGAAATCACCCCCCAGGGGGGATGACCACGCCGCAATCCCTTCTCCTCCATTCTCCTCTGTGGATCTTGGGCACGCACGCACATGCGCCCAGCGTGAGTTTAAGCACCGGGTCCGGAACTCGAACCGCAGTAGACTACATGAGAGTCCAGCGACGTAGCAATTACGCCAACTACTGGTCCCAAGTTAAATAATTCTTGAGAGAAAAAAAAAAAAGGAGCTGGGTGCTTTTGGGACCAGCAGATGACGTAAAGATCAAGGCAACTCCCACATAGCCGACAGTGGCTCAAGTCCCAGACCAGTGGCTTAAAGCTCATGCCGGGCACAAGTGTGTGCATGCCCAAAATCCCGAGAGAATGGAAGAGAAGGGATTTGCGGCATGGTCATCCCCCCTAGCGGGAGATTTCTCACTCTCTGTCTCTCCAGTGAGCACAGGCACCCTATAACAAAAAAATATCTTTCATTACAAAACAAACAAACAACAAAAGGAGCTGGGCCCCATCTGGCCCCGACAGCCTGATATACACGCCAGGCACGTAGACATCCCTGACAGGACACAGAAATGGAGGGGGCATCACGGCATGGCCACGCCCCTCTACCCCCTCTCTGGCAAGCCATGCATCCTCTGGACAAAAGGTACTAACAGGCAACTAAACAATATGGATGGCTATGGATGGCCAAAGTGCCA